GGACCAATGAAAATAACGGGTGGACAAACGTGGACAAACAGTGGACAAACGAATGCAATAATGATTTTACCAATATTCGCATTTAGGGGTGCCAACTTCACAGAGCTGCTTTGTGAAGTTGGAACCTCTAAATGCGAAAATTTCTTTTGTGTATCTTCTATAATTCTGAATCGCGCACGTAGCGCGCGCAGGAAAAGGCTAGTAAAATATAAATTTTGTATGTTCACAAATTAGTAAATCAATATTCACAAAATTTTTAAAAAAAAATTGTACTAAAATGACACACACACACACACCACACACACACACACACACACACACACACACACACACACACACAAACACACACACACACACACACACACACACACACACACACACACACACACACACACACACACACACACACACACACACACAAAATCTTAGAACATATAGGATATACATAATTATAAACAAGTTAGTGAAATGTTAATAAGAGAGAGATGCCTAACGTAAACATTATGATTTAATCAACTGAATCCGAAAATAAAACAACTTTATATTTCACATAAACAAGGATAATCATTACGAGGATATTCCATCGACGACAGAAACTTTTTACGAAGAAGAAATAAATAATTCAACGAATGCACGGACCTTCATTTATTTACGCGTAACACCTGTGAAACCTTCGCTGGAATTTCTCGATAACGACGATGCCGCTTAGTCTCGAGTTCAAATAAGAGCATAGAGATTCGATGCAGCGCTTGCTTATATTCCCGCGGGATTAGTCGCATCGCTGCATTTCCGCTTCGGCGCAATTTGTTCCGTAAAAGATATACAAATAAATAGAATGATCATATATATTATTAAAATTTTTACGCATTGTTTACCACACGTACTTTCAATTGCCCCTTTCACAGAAATTACTTCGTCTTTAATTTTAGAAACACAGAGAATTTTATTATTAAACCTACTTCACAGTTTAAAAAAATTAATATAGGTAATACAATAATTACGTGTTCCTATTCTTAAATTATTGTCATCTTTTATTTCATCATCGACTGAGATTGCTGCGATGAAATTAAAATTCTTGATTTGAAATGCACTCCAATTAAGGCGAACACGTTAATACGGTAATGGAATGACAATAATCTAGGAGCACTTTACAAAATATCACGGTATACCGCAAAGGCTTTTCAGTCGACCTCATCGAGGCTGCAGCAATCAGGGTAACGTCCCGTGAGTACGAACGCGACGCAATCGTATACACAATTGCGCCTCGTAACCCTTTCCCACCGGGTCCCATGTTGCGCCGACAGTAAACGTCGTGTTGCTGAGAGCTCGCGAGCGCGTAAGATAGGCGAAATAAAATCTCTCTAACGAACGGTTCCGCCGTAGCGTTGCCATTAGTGTGCTACCGGGTGGCCACGGGTGGTCGCTACGTACCTGCCGCGCGCGGTCCAGCATCGTTAATACACCTGAATTCCAGCTTAATGGCGTAGCCGGCTTACGCCTGGAGGGAGCCCGAGACCGAGGCCGAGGACGTTGCTGTTCCTATATGCGCGAGATCGTATCTCCTGCGTGAGGCTGAACGGTGTTTGCACCGTGCGATCGGCGTTCGGTGCGTTCCACCCTTGTACTATCAAACCGAAGCCGCGATCCAATGCGACAATACGACCGACAAGAAGTACTTCCTAGCCACGCCACAGAGAAATCAGAATAATGCTATCTTTAGCCGTGCTGACCTTCCAGCAGGATCAACTCTTGATTTGTATACCAGACTGAAGGTGGAAATTATAACACGAATAAATACAAATATAAATATCAGATATGTGTATCTATTTTATCTTTATAAAGTCATATTAACGGCTATATTTTAGACCGGTTTATAGTCGGTTGTATTCAACACTGTCTTAAGTACAGATTAAGATTGTTACTTAAGATTATTATAAACCGATCATAGAGTCGTATTTATAGCATCTTAAGAGATTACAAGACTTGTTATTTTAAAATAAGAATGGACTATAAATAATCTCAAACTTTTTGCTATTATTGGAAACGTTATCGCGAATGACACTTTCTTTTTATACAACAATTTAATTTATCATATTTCTCAATTTAATATATCATAGTTGAACCAATGATAATGAAGGGTTACGTTCAGTCGACCAACTACATTAGAACAATTGATTTGTCGAAGTTTTATTCATCGGAGAACTCTTAACTGGAACATCCACTGCGTATCTATTTTATTTTTATAATCTTAATGTTGAAGATCTGAAGATGGCTCAATATAGAAGCCGAAACATGTAATTTTAATGTCATTATCGTATTATATTGTTAAGAACATCAATATTCTATTTTATCTTCGTAATAAAATTTTTTTAAAAATTTGACATATAAGATTAGATTTAATTTTTGACTCTTATGCCCTTTATTCATTTTTAAATTTATTTATTAACAAGAGTCCTCTTTATACATATTTTTATTTATCATATTTCATTAAAGCTATATCTAGTCCCTCGTGGATTTTGTTTTAATTGAAATTATATCTATGTAGAACATTAATATTGCAAAAGAAAAAAGTTTGTACAATAAATAATCGGTATAAAACTATGCTCTTTTTCTCTCTAAATTTTCTTTGGAGAGTGGAATCCGTAAAGAGTGAGATTCCACTTCAAAGAATTTAGAAAGTTCATTATAATATCTTAACTTTTTTTATAAAGTAGGAGTTACAATTAAGTACGTTCTACAGAACTATGTGCAATCTAATTTAAAGATATACTCGATAGAAAAAAAACTGCGATATATATAAAATCGAGATAGATTTTATATCTGCAATCTGCATATATATTAGAATCAACCTGCAGGCGAGTGTGTGAAACAAAGGAGAAACGTACCGAAAGAAGAGAACAAAGAGTGTGAAATTACTCTTATTTCTGTTCTGGGCAGATAAAAGGCAAAATGCACGGTCCTCTGCGATTTGTTTTACACAACAAAGAAATGATCATACCATATGAATATGCAGGCACACGTGCTGAGCTTTGAGTCGCATAATGAACAAAACACAGAGAAATGTCTCTCTTTTAAAAAGCAAATAATTGCAGCAGTGTAAATTAGCGATATAAATATGAACTCCCTCAATTATGCTCAAGTGTAAAACAAGTTCATAAAATAAAATATGCATATAATAGTTCGCATATTTTTAAATAAATTTCATTAAACCCGAATTTTAAAACGTTTGTCATCTGAAAATACGTGACGATTACATTTCATTTTAAAATAAATCGCATTAAAATGGTTCATCGACATTTAAAAGCCTTTAATTTTTTCACCAGTCAAATCCATCTCGTCAAATCAGGATGGCCTTCAGTTAAATATTAATGCCTTGAAAATTGGTCTGTTTTCTGTTCCTGCACTAGACTGAACTAACACTCTTTTTCTCGCTTTCAACAAATATCAAACATATACTTATCTGACTTTAAGTTCTAAAAGTGTATACTAGTTCAGGCACAGAAAACAGACCTAATATCATGCGAGTCGGAGAACCGACAGCCACGCTCGCTAACCAAAGAAACAATTAAATATACGTTCTCGTTCGCAATCATGTGCATAGCCGAACGATTTGGATATTCTACGAACAGGTGATAAATCGTTCTCTGTACCGATCAGCAAAGTATAAATGCGTGTTCGAATATATGATTTCTATTAAGAGTAACGCTCCTATCATTAATAACACACATTCGAATGTCAATAGAAATTAATGACTCTTCTCAATGATTTTGAAAGACTTAAACGATTGTTCAAAAATACTTCGTCTCGTCATAAATCACAACTCTTTACCGGAATGTCGGGCAATTAAACAATTTGTTTATGAAAATTATGTT